CATTCATTTACCTTGGCTTATCTGCCGGCATTGGAGCTGCATTGCGCCCACTGCTAATTGTAATTGAACTTTAATTCATTGCATTCAGATACCTCTAGCTCTACATACTATACATATATGCACATAAAGCTTTCTAGTTTACTATCGCCGTTTCGCTAACAATTGCACAAAAGAGTGCGACCGCCTGCGCTAGCGAACGCTAGTGTCGGAAGTGCAGCATTAATTTCTCTCCAGCAGCTACAATTAATCAGCAGTAGTTTAATTGATTATCACAATAGAAATCAATATGCTCTTCTCTCTCGTTCTACATTTGTCAGTCTTTATTTTACTTTGCAGTCAAGTTGGCACAGCATTCAAGTCATTAAGTGTAAGTGTTGTAAGACAAAGTAGTTTTAATTAAGAGTTGAGTGTCTTTAATTGTGCTTCCGGCAGCAATTGATAGTTTTTTGTAAATGATTTATTGACGAAATTTCATCTCGATTGCAAATTGAGTGTAAAAGAGCGTTTGTTTTTTATATAGCATATGCAAATGCATTTAGTGACTCATAAAAGTGAATATCAACTGTTTTTTTGAATGCCTAATAAAATTATGATAAAAGAAGTAAAAACTTGTGCATTAAAATTTTAAAATTTTTTAAATATATTATATAATAAAATAATATTTTAAAGGTGTAAAAAAATGACACAAAAAATACCTTACATCGCATGCGCTGCATAACAAAATAATGTACTACGGTCATATAAAAAATGTTGCGAAAGCGTATGTCTAACTGTTATAGTTACGTTCCAATAAGTGTTCTTTTATTTAAAAATAATAATTAAAATGCCGCCTCTATGAAAGCTCTTTATTTTTACCTTGATATTAATTCGTTTCAAAATTAATTTCTTCATATTCGATACTGATACTTTTATATAATTTTTCGAATTATTCGGTTCTAATATGCTATTCGAAAGATATCACGAATTTAAAAATACATTTATTAGAAAAAAGTCGCGAAGTGACGGGCGAACCGCTGGGCTTTGACTGCTGAGGTTGACTTTAAACCTTATATTATATAATGGTCAATATGTGAAGGTATATTAATGAAACTCAGAGAGAATTTTTTGCTACTTGTAAATACTTGTATTCATATTGAAGGCTAAATTGCGTGGCAGCAAACTGTTATGAATACGAACACAAAATATGTCGCTCGAGCATGAGCGTCGTCGTCCCCTCGTCAACCGTTTGGGCGACAAAAGTCTTCGTGTGTGTACCGACACTTTCACGCATTCACTATACAAGTAGTTAGCTTTTTGTACATTACTTTGATATAAGTGGAGTTACAATGATTGCAATGAAGTTTTAAAACAAATATTTGGCGAAACCAAGCAAATTTCACAGTGTAATTAGCGAAAAAGTTTAACGCTTCAAATTTGCGAAACTAAAAATCAACTTACCAATCCTCACAACTCGTCTCTGCAGTTAGATATGCATGCTGACAGTGCTGGTTGCCATGTCTAATCCCACCATTCGAAATAGTCTCATTTTTGTTTGTTACACTTGATTTAGTAATCCTTCAAATTTTTTTATCCGTCTAAAAAATACGCATCTTTAAGTTTTATTTTATTTATAGGATTCTCTTTGATTTAACTTCGCAATTTTCTTTCTAAAAATAATCAATTCATCGTTTGATCTTTCAAAATTGATTGATTTTTCTCCGAGCGCTTCCATACGCGGTCAAAATAAGTCCCATTCGACTATTATACTATAGTAAACTTCTCTTGCGAAAATGCGCCATCGGTCGTCAGCTTAAATCTGATAAAAGGTAAAGTCGGTACCTGAAATCCATTTTTTTCCTTATAATAAATGGAATAAAACTCTTTATACCCTGAATAAGGGGTATTAAGTTTTCCACGAATTTTGTAACACACAGCAGGAAACGTCGGAGACTCTTTAAAATATATATATAACTGACCAGCGGGACGAGCTAAGCCGATTTAGCCATTAGTCGAGTTAGTATCTCAGTTTTTGAGATATCGATCTGAAATTTTGCACACGTTCTTTTCTTTCCAAAGAACTGCTCATTTTTCAGAATCGCCAATATCGGACCACACAACACACAAACATCTAAATTAAGTTGTTGTATGGAAAAGTTCTCTATTTGACAAGATATCCTTCCGAAATTTGGCAGAGATTATTGTCCAAAGCAGCGCTATAATCTCCGAAGAAATTGTTCAGACCGGACCGCTTTAGCATATAAGCTGTCATACAAACTGACTGGTCAAATCAAGTTTTGTGTAGAAAGTTTTTTAATTGTGTAGGGTCTTAGTCAAATCGAAATTTTATTAGCCTATTACACATATTATATTATACTTATATTATATTTTATACAAAAATTATATTAAATCGGTCCGAAACTTCTCCATTCCCCTACTTATTCGTTATTAATAATTATGTTCTCATAATTATGTTCTCATAAAATTCGAAACTCGCTTCTCTCCGTACATAGTTATTTTGCATAGCATATTTAAATCGTTAGATGAAGTTTTACTTTTTTGAAATTAATAAATTTATTGAAGAATATCATTCATGCTTTCGCGTAAGCTCTTTACTATTAAAATGTTTAATTAAAAAATGTCTAAGGTCTTTAAACCTCGCATATTTAAGAACTGTAATCAAATTATTTTCCATGGAATGAAAAAAAATATTAATTTCTGCCATGGTTATGAGTTCGTAAGTTAGCAGCAATAAAACATGACTCAATTACGCCTGCCTGCATGTTTGTGTTTAATTAATGCAACCCTGCCGACGCTGACGACGATGTTGACAACAACAGCGAGAAAATTTATGCAATACTTATGGACTTGAAGAATTGCTTTTCCAGCTGTAAAAAAAAAGAATATAAAATAAAAATTGAAAACTTAGAAGCGAACAAATACAAATAGCACAGAACCATTACTAAAAATGATTGTTACACACACACACATGCACACACGCGCAAATAAGCACAAAATGCAGAATTCTAACTGTGTTGCGCAGCGCAGCGCCTTCACTACACTCCATCAACATTTAGTACAAATCATGTTGCATTCTAATTTGCATTTTTGCACTTTCGACTGGCAGTGACAACGGCAACAAAAACGGCAAAAATAACAACAACAATAGCAACAAACAATTTCATTGCGTGCAAGCGACAGTAAACGCCCAAAAACTGCCAACGCTCGGGAGAATGCGAGCAATAAAAACTGAAAGTTAACATTTAAAAAGCAACAACAACAACAATGCGCAATGATATGGCGACAAAAATGGCGCTATAAAAATGGAAAATAATTAAAAAAAAGCAACGCACTCGCAGCACTCACCGCCTAACTACCGTTGCATGCAAATTTCCAATTCCCACACACACACACACACTTGCGTATACACGCGTATGTACTCTTCGTTGTTATACATATATTGTATGTGTGTTTGTATATGCGGCCGTCGTTGCGTGCCTATCATGACGCCCATTCCATCTCTCTTCCCGCCCAACTCACTCCACTCGTGTGCGTTTTATTCGTATGTTTGCTGTGTATGTATGCACGTGTGTATAGCTGGGAAATTTTATAATAAAAAACTGTTAGTATGACTAAGACAAATATGCAAATGATATAATACTGACTGCTGCTTGCAAAATTATCACCACAAATAATATTTCGCCTTCAACCGCACCACCAGGCATTGACGTAATTGTTTTTAACTCGCTGTAATATTTGAAGGACTTTGAATTTCGCATTCTGCTAGTTTTGAGTTTAGACTTTAATGTTAGATTATCATTTTAATTGGTGACATGATTCGTAATTTTCTTTTTTGCATTAAAAATAAAATAAAATAAAATTTTAATGTTGATTCAAATGCAGTATGAGTTGGCAAATTGGTAAGGTCACAAGTGCAAATTGAGTAATGTGCAATGTCCTAACATAGGATATTGTGAAGAAATCCAACAAAATTTTGTTGAAGGCTTATTATAGAAAACTAGTAAAATAATAGACGTTGTAGGTTCCTCAAAATGTAATTGACCAATATAAATGATATAATGTCAAATGGCAGGTCGTGGCAGACCAAATCATTTTAGAGTAAGAAAAAACTTTAACCTCGGCTGCATCGTAGCTATAATACCCTACACAAGTACGTTTCTTATAGCATCAAAGGTTTTGCCCTTTATCTTGATTTTGATTCGTTACTTTGAATGGCAGATACATATATATGTGCTATAGTGGTCCGATTTAAACAATTTGTTTGGGGATTATAGCATTGCCTTCGATAATATTCCATGCTAAATTTCGTGAAGTTATCTTGCAAAATAAAAAAGTTTTCTATACTAGAACTTAATTTAAATTGGTCAGTTTGTATAGCAGCTATATCCTATAGTGGTCCGATATTGGCGGTTCAGAAAAATAAGCATATTCTTTGGGAAGAATAGAACGTGTGTAAAATTTTAGATCGATATCTGAAAAACTAAGGGTAGTTCGTGTTCGTTTATAGACGGACAGACAGACTGAGATGGCCATATCGATTCAGCTTAACGCTGATCATTTGCATATAATGGGTCTCCGATGTTTCCTTCTCGGTATTTAGATTTCGTGGCGAATCGGCCTAACAATAACGGTGAAGGTCTTGGTCTTCTGCAGGTATTCGATATATATTTTGCTTTCGGAATTCCAGTAAAAGTTGGTCATTACGTTTCTGGCTGATATGACAGTCTTTGTCTTGTTGGGACGCGTTCGCCGACGGTCACAAAACAGACGAAAACAGCGATCTTTGAATGATGCTTAAAGAGCTTGAAATACTGCTGTGAAGTGTTCTCGTGATCGGTCTATAAGATCGTAGACTTTCGCCATCCATGGCAGTCGTTTTCGGGGTATATCGGCTGCTTTATCAAAAACCGACGATCTTATGTATTTCAATGCTCGACTTTCCTTTTAAAAACTAGAATTGTATCACTGATCGATATTACACTTTTTCCACTTTTTTAAAATAGGTAGAGATGGCGTTGTCCCACGCGGTCGAAACAAAAATTTGGATTCGAATTGGATTTTGACAAGAGCTACCTAACAGAATGTACCATACGTTAGAACCTGAGACGTTTTTGAAAGCATTGTGCCCATTACGTACGAACGGTGTAATGAGACGACATAGTCCAGCTGGGAAAAGTAAAGCTTCTTCTAACTTAGAAAGGCAAAGATAAGAACAGATTGTACCTAGTCGGAGTATTTACTTGAGGTAAGTTTAATGCTGCGAAGAAAGAGCAAGGGACATAACCCTCCTAAAATGTTTTATGTGTAAAGTAAACAAAAAAAAAAAATTAAATCTGAGAAGAAGGGGAAGAATAGAAATTGGATGAGAAATGTGAAGTAAGAAAGGTTCACTGCGGAGAAAAAGATTATAAAGAGAGATGTAAACGAGTAAGTAAAAGGGGAGTCCGAGGTAGAACAAGACTGAAAGATGAAATAAAACATAAATACGAAACGTAAGAAGAATTGGCAGAAAGATGAACAAATAAAAAGAGACAATGAAGAGAGTATAGAAAGCAAATGAGAATGAGTGACAATAAGAGAATGAAAAAGGTATTATGAGAAAAGGGAAACAGAACAAAGTAAGCTCAGCAGATTTCTTCTACATTATTTAGACATAAATATATTTTGCTTTAAATTGCTGATCCTATACTTTTATGAAAACATAAATATATCTGCTAAGTGCATATCTTTGCTCTCAGGTATTCTCTCTATGCTAGCATTTCATTTCTAATTCCAAGCTTGCTGTCTAAAAACGAATTGGAGTAATTGAAGAGCGCATGTAACCACAATACCCTTACCAATTTGGCAAACAACATTTGTGAGCATTTTTTATGATTACCACAAACTTTTTCACAATGCTGACTTTCACCATTGTGTGCTCAGATAAAATATATGTGGAGTGTGTGTGCAGAGTTGTACGCAACTAGTTTGGCCAGGGTAATTCGACCATATTTAAAATGAAGTGTGTGGTAAAATAAATTGTCAAGCATTTCATTGCAGCCAAGGTGTATACAACTGCATACCTGCGGGTAAATATGCCAAATTAAATGCAACTATGCTAATTCACGCACACTTACATAACTATACACACACACACAGAGAGACAGTGTTATGAATGTGTGCGTGAAGATAAATGAATACAATGTGTGTTTGTATAAGAAAAATAGTGGAATGACCATGTGAGCATTTTACTGTTGTTCGCTGTTGGTTATTGCCTCGACTCCTTTGCTGATTGCCGCTGTTATGTTTTAATGCAAATTTCGTTGCAACTCAACCACTCACGTGATTAAGAATGCAAAAGTACATTTTCAGTGAACAGATATGAGTGAGTTGTTTCATACACAACCCTTACAAACACATGCCACATACAAATGTATGTGTAGTATGTATAAGAATTTTATATGCATATATGCTTCTTGATGTACAAGTCAGTGGCAGTTGGCTTTTGGGCAAGGCGCCTGCAACCATGCAACCTGTTCTCTGTATATACATATATGACATATTCAAGTGGTTTGTTGGAATTTTCGCTTTTGAGAATCATAAATGCAAATTTTGACCGTTATCTTCATACCACATGTACAGATATATATCTGTTTATGTATATTATACTCATACGATCGGCTTTCTGCGTGCTAAGAGGAGTATCTGTTAAACTGCAATATCCTACAATCACGGTTTGTGGCTTGTGGCATGCTGCTTGCTTATTGTTCAGTTTAAAAACCAGCTGCACATTAAATAATTAATTTGATAAGCCAAACAATATATGAATATGTATATTTAACAAGGTGTTACTTCCTTTAAATATTTTTGAGTGCTTGCACCGTAATTTTAATATATATTTCTCATATAAGTATTTCTGTGTACTGATTATGAAAAAGTTTCGAAAATATTTCTTATTGCTGTTTAGTATCAAACATAACCACAAAATTCAAAAATATAATTTTTTTTAAAATTTCTTCAATACGAAACTAAAGGTGTCCACAAAGTGAAAATTTTCGAGGCTTTTGTACTATGTAGCTCAAAACATTGTCAAGTATTTGTTTAAAAAGTCTGTACTCAGCAACACCTACAGATTATGAAAACGGGTGATACATTTTACGATCAATATAAGAATGATTTAAGAACATGTACCTGATTTATGCAGCGTATGCTTGGTTTTATATTAGAGTAAACGAGATATATAAAAAAATATGTAGGTTGCGGGTCTTTTGATGTCTAATTGGGGAGAATTAAATGTATAAATTTCTAAAATTCTAATTAGAAGAACTGAGAGTTGCTTAAAGGGACTACAAATTATCCCACCTTGGAATTTTTCTCTTCTCTTTTCCTACTCATACTTTTCTGCCCCTGAAAAAACGCGTTAAACTCACTTTAAGCCATTGTTGTCCTTTGTTCACAGAAAACCCCTTATGATCTATCCCGGCTCATAGGAAAAGCCCTTCACATCTGGGCGAAAGGTCACGGTATCACTGTTTGACGAAGAAAACAGAAATAATTTAACAAGAGATACAAAAATCACATAATTCAATCCCCCATCTGTAAGGAGTAAGACTATTGGACTCCTGAACACTGTCAAATATCTCGGGGTTATTATAGATACAAAAAAATAAGCTGGAGAGAAGCTTAACCGCTATGGAATCTACCTCAACATAGGCGCTATAGGTCGTACGCGATATCCGGTCAATTAATATTAAAGTGTTCTTGTTACAGAAGTCAATCTAGATTGGCAATGTGGCTAGGAAAAGCAAATCCATGTAAAAGTAAAAACAACTTCTTCTATAGCAATCCAAACACAGAGGGCAGTTTCAAACTAAATGGCTACCATTCAGTCTCTCAGGTTGAAATTTTTTGAATAACAGAAGGCGTCTAGTGGGCTTCTGCTATAACTAGCAAGTCCATCAACTATCTAGTAAATAGCCAAGTGGCAATAACTGCTATTCACAGCGCTAATACAAGCATTTCACTGCGTAAGGTTATAACGTATGCGCTCCGTTGTGGTGCCATTGATATTAACTATCTTATTGAATTTAATTTTTCTTTCACCCAACAAAATTGCAGGTCTTACAGTCGCTTTGTCGTCTTCCTGGGATGTATCATACTACAATATGTGCTGGTATGGTTGCGACAAAATTCAGCAGACCCTTGCAGATTTGCTGAGTCAGGTCATTTCTTTGTATAAAATACTTTTAGTTCATTCTAAACCCGACAGACTCTGATACAAAGAAAAAATTCTTTATTAACTTAAATTGCGCTTGTTTTGTTAGAGAAACATAAAAGTGGCACTGGTAAGATAGATAGATTTTGATAATTTGGAGACTTTATTGCTTTTGGTAAGGACGACAATATGCAAGATATACAGTTGTATAAGAATCAAAACAGCTAATTTTTGGGGTTCAAGAGCTTCTCGCAGCCTTATTTTGACATTTCTTTATTTTTTGGAATAATTTAGTTATTTGGTACCACATACTTGCATTGTGACATTGCTTGGTTAATTTAGTTAGAGAATTGACTTCACAATTCTCGAACACCATTTGCCCACTTGACAGTGACCTCTTATAATATTGTCTTATAATAGTATATAATTCCTTTTGTCAATGCAACAACATTTTGGTAAATTTTTTACACTTTTTAATAAACACCAAATTATGAAATATATTAAAATACAGAGCATACCTTGAAACTTTTCCTTAGCACTTAAGATAGTTCTTATGAAACAGCAAAGCAACAAAAAACTTCTCTGCACAACTTCACCATAAATTATTGACACCTGCAAACTTTTAAATGACGTTCGTGTATTTTACTTGCCAGAGATTCAACAACCAAAAGTAAAAACAAAAAACTAAGAAAATTGTCACTTCGCCACTGACATATAACCACAAACTTTCGCGCATCCTTTTGCAATTTTCCCAATTTTCAGTGCCACATTTGAACTTTTATCAAACTTTTTACCAACACACAAGTGCTTGCGTACCAAGCTTATATACAATATATATATGTATATAAATGTGTGTGTGTAGACATGTATCAATACACCACATCTACTTGGCTTGATGGCAATGCAAATCAATGTCTACACCTGTGTATTAGTGCTTACAAATTTACTCAATAATCAGTAGGCTCTTGTTGTTGTAAATATATTCCTCGTTGTTGGAGTGTTGCCACTTTCGCATTGGCTTTTGCCTGCCATCGCAAAAGTTGTGACGCTAAGTAGCATGTAAACACTGTCAATATCTCAAACAAGTTAGCAAGTGACGAGCACATGTCAAGCAGCAAATTGATGGCAACTGCATTACACTGAGTACTTTTGTGCATACATAAAAAATAAAATATACTGAAAATATACTGTGGCTAGAATTCAAAGTTTTTGTAGTTATGAGCGGATGTTTTGTTTTAAAAGCCAATATAGAAGTTGGAGGTTATACTTGTAAGCGATTGGTAGTGGTGTTTTGAAGTAGTAGTAGTAGTAAAGGGGTTAAATTGGTGGTAAATTAAAATATATATATTTATAATAATATAAATATTTATGCATGTATATATTTTGTACAGTTTTCGTACCTTGAGCAATGCTCAGCGTTCTTCATTACAATGTCAACGCATTCTTCTCATTTATTTAGCTCATTTACTCTGATTTGTTATCGCCATCCATGTTCCGGACTTGCAGTAGCAATAATACCTGCGTGTGCTCGTAGAAAACGTGATTGCCCAATGTTTATGTATTGTTATTTAACTCGGGATTAATCACTAAACTTAATGGAATCCCATTGTCTCTGTACCAATTATTATCTTTGTCTTTGTCGTACAGACGTTCTTTTCTTTTCCAAAATTATATACCAAAGCTTTTCTTTGGCCTACCAACATACATATATAAGAATATTATTTATTCAGATATGACATGATAGGTTTTATACTGATATTATGATACCTGATAAGAATCGCATACAGTGCGTTTTATTTGTCAACGCGTCAATTCACGTTTAATTGTTATGTATTGTAGAATGGGGCGTATGTGCAACATTAGCACAACACTCGGCTGGTTATTGGACTAGAGCAATTTTTTTCAACAGATTAATTATAATTTCTCCATTTTTTGTGAAAAAGATAGTAAATTGTCTTTATATTGATTTAATCACCAAGGTTGTATGGCAGCTATATGATATAGTAGTCCGATCTGAACAATTTCTTCGGAAATTAAAGCGTTGACTTGGA